GTGGCTCAGTTGGTTAAGAGCTCGCTCAAGAGTTTGAGCTCTGAGCAACAGCGGTTCGAGTCAGCCCGAGCTGAGCAGCCGTGAGCTGCCAACAGGTGGCGGGATGGCTCAGCTAAAAAAAAAAAAAAAAAGAGTTCAAGCCTCAAAGGAAAATTCTTGAAGGTGGGGGAAAACGGAGTTGTTATTTAAGGGGTACAGAGTTTCAGTTTGGGATGATGGAAAAGTTCTGGAAACCAATAGTGGGGATGGTTGCACAACAATGTGAGTGTACTTAATGCCACTGAATTGCTTTCTTAAAAAGGGTTAAAATGGTAACTTTTATGTTCTATATATTTTACCACAATTTTTTTAAAAGGGGGGAGAATTTCTTGGCTCTAGCAACTGAATCTCTTGCTTCAGGCATGGCTGGATCCAGGGGTCCAGGCAATATTATTAGGACTCTGGCAGTCTCACTCTCATATCCTAGTTCTTTTCTGAGTGTAGGTTTCAATCTCAGGTAGACACCTCCCTCATGGCAATCGATATGGTCACCAGTGTCATTAGGTTTATGTCCTCCTTAATCCCCAAAACGCTGAAGAATTTACCACAACTCTCTCCCCAGTGTCCATATCAGTGTTTGAAAGGGCTTTGATTGGCTTGTTTGGATCACATGCCTACTTTAGGACAATCACTGTCTTCAGGAGGATGAGTTACTGTGGCCATCTGGGTCACCTCCTTATCACAGAACCCAGGGATTGATAGTTCCACCAGAATAGGGGAGGGAAAGTTCCCCAAAGAAAGGGGTGTTATCTTCCTGGTAACGGAGAAGAAATGGAGCCTGGCAAAAACAACAGATGTTCAGTACATATGTTCTGGATTTCCTGTGTAACCCAAGCACTACCAAAGAGAGCATTTAAATGTTTCAAAAACATTCCTATGTGATTGGTATTTTGTTTTTATTAAAAAAAAACAACAACTATAATGCCTTGTGGTTTGACCATTTGGTGGATGGTATTTCTACCTTTCTGTGAATACCAAACCTAATAAGTTGAATAAATGTGTTAATGTGTGTTAAATTATTGAAAGAATGAATCTTTGTGGCCCAATATAGGATCATAGTTTTTTGTATGTTGTTTGTAGATGGTATGATCTATGTACACTTGAAAAGAGACTGTCTTACTTGTCCCATCTTTAGTTATTCCACATATCTGTTAAATTCTTTACTGCTTATGGAATTGTCTTCTAGCATGTAACACAGGCCCTGGAACTTAATGACCTCTCCCCCAATTTTTTTATTGAAGGAGTATTTTCCAATTTATTCTTTGTCTTTTATTGCCCAAAATGGAATGTTGAGGTTCCAATTAAAATAATATTTGTTTTGGGATGGCCAGTTAGCTCAGGTGGTTAGAGCACAGGCTCATAACACCAAGGTTGCCGGTTCGATCTTTACATGGGCCACTGTGAGCTGCTCCCTCCACAAGTAGATTGAGACAACTACTTGACTTGGAGCTGATGAGTCCTGGAAAAACACGCTGTCCCCCCCCAAAAAAAATTAAAAACTCAAAATAAAATAAAATAATATTTGTTTTAATTTCTTCTTGCTCCCCCCGCCCCATTTTCTAGACTTTGTTGCAATGGTTTTTATAACACATACATTCACTATTTTTTTATTTTCATGATTTAATGTACATTTGGCCATTATGTAATGACCTTATTTATTTCTTGTACTGACTTTTGCTATGACATCTGCTTTATCTGCTTCCAGAATAGTAATCCCAGCTTTTCTTCTGTTCACATAGGAATATCCTCTAACACTGCTACTCTGTTGATTTTTTTTTTTTTTGGTTTGTGTGTCTTGTAGGCAACAAATCATTAGATTTTGTTCTTTTAACAGTGAGCTGCCTTCTTTTTATAGGAGAGTTCACCCTGTTTACATTTAATACTTTGATTGATAAAATTTTACTATATCTTATTTCCTTTTAAATTCCATTTAATTTTTATTTGTTCTCTCCCTTTCAATTTATGGACTTAATACGAGGCACTGTAAACTTTTTGTTTCTTTTTTAATTATATCAGAAGATAACCTTACCTCATCTGTTTTTCAAACATTTTCAATGTATTAGGCGTTCACACAGCTGAACAGTTCTAGTATTTACTTCTATTATTAACCTGAAACACATTGAATTCTCATGTAGGCTGTTAAAAGTCTAGTTCTTTTTTGCTTTTAGTTACGTATTTTAAAGAAAGTATGAACAATTTATGTTAATATGGGATGTCAAGTAATCTATCTTTTATTCTGTGATTTGGGCCCTATAGTACAATTTATTTTATGATTCTGATTAATGAATGCTAAGAACAAACCCAGTTTGACTAAAAAGTAGTGAAACTGAGTGGCTGGAAGAATGTGTCTCACTACTTCCTAGTTGTACATTATCTTTGAAAACAAATGCACACCATGTAAACAGTAATTGAGTATGTGCATAAATTCAACTTTTAAGGTGTAATAGCAGCCAACTAGAGCACTTAACATTTGACTATAACTTTTAGAATATTTGGTGTATACAAAATTTTAATCAAATCCGAAAAACACTTCAATCCCATATTGCTTATCAATTTTTAAAATCTTAATAGAAATTCTGTATATAACCTGACAAGCTGCATGCATACCTTTAGCTTTGAATGAATTTCTCAACTGAGATGAAGCCAAACTTAAATATGTATGTAGAATACCCAACTGAAAGTTTCTAATAAAAGTTTCGTCTTAGCTAATCAGAAATAATGGTTATTGAAAGTTCTGAGGCCGAAGAGCTATAATGAAGCTTAATATAATTTAGACTTACAAATTAGTCAGCCAAACAAACAAGATTTGAAATTACCAACTGCTGCAAAGAAAGAAAATTTTCACTTGATATTTACCTCTTTTTTTGATATTTACTTCTAACAGCAAAAAGGAAATATCTTTACATTGAGCTTTTAGTTTTTACACAGTTAAAATTATTAAAGAAATCTTACTAGTCTTCAAAAATACTAAATGTTATATAAGTACTATGTTCTTATAGTTGAATTCTTCAGCTAGAATCTGTTTTTAAAAATTTCCTTTGGATTGCTTCATTTACCACTTCAACTCTCCATCCTGCAACTCTGATAACTGGCTCAGCTTTGTTAGGTTCATGTCAATCACATCTTTCAGAATTTGCTACTGTGTGTTACCTGTGTGCAGTAGCATCAATGGGAGAAGCTGCACCAAATTTCAAAAGCAACATAAGGAAAAATTCAAGAATATGTACTATAAAAAAGATAAAGTACGATAGGAATTCCCTTTCCCCATTACATTAATGAAATACAATCCTTTTAATGCTTTTAAAGATAATGTCCTAACTTTCATTTTTTTTAACTTATCAAGAGGATGAAAATTTTAGATGGCCCACCTTTATTTTTAAATTAAAAACTAAAACAATAGACTATTATTTTTATTAATACACACATCAAGCTATTGAAACAGTGACATCATATAATTTTCTCCTTAAACATGGCACTTGCAGGTACAAAGATGCAAAAATGACTATAGGCTTCAGATATTAACTTGAAAAGATTCTTCAACAGCAGTTTGATATTGGGTTTCCTCGTCTACCTGAAGGTTCACAAATTCTCCATTGTAAAATTGTCATTGATTTAGATGACTAAGGAAATTTCTAGTAATCTGGCTAGGATCTCCCCAAGGAAGAGACACACAAATAAGACACATCACAGGAACTATCTGAAATAGGTGATTACTGTTACAGTCATCCAGTAAACGCTGTCTGGTAAAATTTGATTCTTGATACAATGTATACTTAAAGGTGGGGTGTCCAGAAGAACGTGTATTCTCTTGATAAGTTTTTATGTTATCAGATGTGGATGTTTCACTCCTATTACTGTTCCTTACTGAATCTTGAGAGATATGGAAGCTTGGAATGATAGCAGAAACATGATATTCATCTTGATACTTCTTACAAGGTTCATCCAGTGGCCGATCTGCCTCACACGGGAAGAGCGCGATGATAATACCAACATGGGCCAGTGAAGCGAAGTCCTCCACAGCTAGACTGAAGAACAAAACGACAGCAACTTGTCTGTTCCCCTTCCCCAATTCCCCAACACTGTTCCCCTCCCCCAACTCCCCAATAAAATCTTTTAAAAAACAAACAAACAAACAAACAAACAAACAAACAAACACTTTATTTTCTGTTCTCTGCCTTCTCTCCCCCAAATCATCTACGGTTGGTAGATAGTCTTATTATAGTAAAATTCAACCTGTACCAATTATTTCTCAAAATATCTACTGATTTATTTTATGTTTTCTCATCAAACTTGTCCTTTAGTAATGTTAGAATGTACTGTCTCTCATTCGCATCTTGCTGTTTGCAGACCTCTGTTGTCTCTAAATTTTACTTCTGGGTCAAGCCAGATCTGCGAACAGCTGTGTACCTGTGACCTATCATTCTGGGCATTTGTAGCATGACGTTTATGGGAATTTGCTTTGGCATTATGCCCTCCATCTATGCTGAAGACAGTAATAATATGTAGCCCTATTTAATTCTTTACTGTATTTATTAGAGATTGTGTAGAGATGGTTTTGAAGGCTTTTGCTTTTGTTTTAATATTGCAGTGCCTGTATGTGTGTTTGTGGGCCCGGGGGAGGAAATTTTCCTTAGCAACAGTGAAATTGTGTAATTGATTACATTTCTGTTTTTGGGCTGCCCACAGTTAAGTGTCAAATTTGAAAGTCACCTCTAAAAATAGTATGTAGCCTTATGTCGTGAATTTTAGGCATTAACCTTAGTTTCATGTTATTTTTTCCTGTTGTTTTCTTTCCTGTCCAATTTCTTTACTTTGGTTAGAAAAAAATTTGGTTAGAAAAATTTTTATTGTAGATACCCAATGTATTTTAGTTTTTGTGTCATACGCTACTACCATCCTTTTTGGAATGAGATAAGTTTCAATTAGAAACAAATAATAATATTCTTATTTTTATATTCCAGGTCTGCTCAATGGATATTTCTGGAAAGATTGGCTAAGCATCTTCAAATTTGTGGACACCCACTGCACTAGAATTATGTGGGGCCATAGCTTTGTCTGATAATCCATGTAGGTGAAATTATACTTTTCAATTGTTATGATAATCTTTAGTGTGGAGTTCTTTTGTTTCCACAAAAATCTTACAACCAAGGAAGCCACAGAGAACACATTTTTGATATGATATTCATAAAATGACCTTACAAATGGTCTTGGGGATCTGTATGATGAAGGATTTTCATGTTCAATTTAATGTTCACCTTAATGTTTGAAAAATAACACTGCTTTCCTGCACTTTCACTCAACTTGGTAGCTCAAGTTGACCAGAGATTCCCATAAGACCATTTTTACTAGAAATCCAAGCCTCATGGTTGAGACTTAGCCAATAATATTGAGTCAGTTTCACATTCTGCTTCCTTATTGTGGATAAAGGTGTAGCAGGAGAAATATTTATTAGTTTAAGAGCTGGTGGTAGCACTGTTGCTTACCTTGTAGCCAATCCCCCATAGATATTGCTAACAGAACCTTGGTTTTGTTTGGAAACCATGTGCCCAGCCCCAGGGGACAAGGGAGCTTGGGTTCAGCTGTAATAGCTGTCTTGTTCCCCTTCTTCAGAGACTCGCTTTCCCATCTCCCTTTGCAGTTAAGAGTAGCCATGTCACACGTCAATACCAATAAGGTTCAAGGAGAAGTCTGTTGGGGAGCTTCTGGAAAAAATTTTCTCCTGCTTGTAAGAAACAGAGAGATGAAGAGAAGGTGGTGGCCTCCCTGGATGCATCTCCTGCTTCCTTCCTTTTCGTGTGCACGAAGTCAGTGTCTGCCTCCTTGCAACAAGCCTGAAGACAAGAGGCCAACATGCAATAATGGTGGAATGGAAGGTAGGAAAGCACCAGGGTCTTCTGACGTTACCTACCGAATCAACCCTGAGCCCACCTACCTCAGACCTCTTATTAAGCAAACAGTAAATGTCTTTATGTTTTAAGATTGTGGTTCTCAAAGTGTGTTCTGGAGGTCTCTGGGAATCCCTGAAACCCTTTAAGAGGTCCCACGAGGATAAAGCAATTTTTATAATATTAAGACATTTTTTGCCTTTTTCATACTTATTCTCTCAGCATACAGTGGAGCTTTCCAGAGGCTAACTGACTTTTGATATCACCACAGACTGAAGGGAGAAGCAGAGAAAATCCAGCTGTCTTCTATTAAGTCAGACAAGAAAGAGATTTGCAAAAATGTAAAACAGTGTCTTTATCATCCATTTTTTTTAAAAAAGAGCTATTTTAATAAATGTTCTATTTATGTTAACATGTAATGGGCTTATTATTTTTTAATGAATTAATAAATACAAATTTAAATTTTTTCTCAGCTTTAATTTTTTTATATGGTAACTATTGACAGGTATAAACCACACAAACAAAGGCTTTGGGGGATTCGCAATAATTTTTAAGTGTAAAGGAGTCCTGAAATCAAAAAAGGTTGAAAGCTGCTGATATAAGCCATTATTAGATGCATTTTTTAAAATTGCTGCAGAAATGGTTAATTTCTGCAAAGCATTCCTGAGTGATAACAGAACAGAATTCTTCTTGGTGGTAGAACTTGTTTAGAAAAGCAAATGGATGGGCCATTATGATTGTAGAAAGATAGCAGCAGGGCTGGAGCCACCTTGGAATGAATGAGACTGACAAAGAAAGAGCCAGGCTTCTCAGCACAAGAAAAGAATGAGAATTTGGAGTATTTGGGGTGCGTTTGCTAGGGAGCGGAACAAAGGAGAGGGAGATGGCCCGCACAGCGACTGGAGGCAGAGCTGCGTCGGAGAGACGCCTAGGGGAAGGGTCCTTGGTGGGGGGTGGGGGACGGGGGTTGGAGTGAGGGGGAGAATGCCTGAGGGCTAACTACTATTCTATCTTAAACGCTCCTCTGCGCTCTTCTGTGAGGTAACGCCTCATTGCTTCCTCCAAATCCTCAGCAAACGTGTCGGCTACACATTCACAGCAGCCTTCGTGAGTGGCGATTTGGAGAAACTGAAGCAAAGAAGTTTTATTATATTTTAGGACTGACATGGAGTAGACAGACAACAAGAAGTGAAATGTGGGTGCTAAAGAATTCTGAGCAAGCCGGAAATCACTAGTAAACTCTTCGGTGCTTCTGCCCCACCCCATCATCCGGTGCTTTCCCGTAGGTATTGGAAAAACACACAGGGTTTCCCACTGTAAGGGAATTTGAGACCATTGTATTAGAATTTCAAAGAGCTGCATTACTGTAGCTGGTCTCTGTATTAGCAACGCACTGTCAGCTATTTTCCAGAGGGTTTGGCATTTAATGGCTGAGAAGTTTCCGTCATTCCTTTCTAGGTGCCAGGAGACAGGAATTTTGTAGCTACTTACCTCCTGGTGAGGACTTAAAAGGCAGGTACAGGTCTGGGGGGGGGATATTTTTGGAGGCAGTCAAGTTGATTTTCCAAAACATGCAATCTCAGCATTTTACTGCTGAGTTATTTATTTATTACTGCTGCCCTTTGGGGTTTTGGCAGCTTACCTAAAAGAGGGCCACTTTTCATGTTCATTTGCTCGGTTTACAAAGAAAATGTTGCACTCAGATATGGGGAAGTTGTACTTATTTAATATGTTTTAAAAGTCTAATGAGTTAGTAAGCATTTGGAAACTTGGCAGCTTTCAGGATGAAAGAAGCGATCTGTGGTTATGACATCATCGCTGTTAATTACCTCTTTGCAAAAATTTGCCTGAATGGAGAAGAGGTGGGTGTGTCTATGTGGTATTTAACGTGATGATTAAAATATATTAATGATAGTTTTCACTTCTAAAGCATGGTACATCTTAGGATCTTCTTTAAAAGTGCTTCCACAGGCTTTAATTAGCCCTTATAACTCTACTAGGAAAAAGTAAAACAGCCCCATTTCACAGAAGAGGAAAGTGAAACATAGAAGGGGCCTGTTTAGGGGAAGGGTTTTGGTAAAATGAAGCTGCCTCCCTACAGCTCAACAAAGAACTTAACCTTTCTCCTTTGCTTTGACCGAGAATTCACATTCACAGGTTTTAAATGAAGAGCACAGATTTGTTCATACCTTGACATGCTAGACAGCGGAGACAAAACAGCACGTTTTGGGGTCCATAAGAAATTATTGCTTATTATAAACCACCTCCTAAGGTTATCTAAACAACAACAAAAAAGAATAAATCAAATGGGCCATAAAACTCAGGCGTTCTGATTCTCAATTTTGTCTTTAGTTTAACCATTTTGAGTTCTGCATTATGTATAGAACTGTTCTAGATTTTAAAAAACGGAAAGGACGATTGCTAATTATTTCACTTTTTGTAGGTTATTTTCATTTTCAAATCAAGGAAATATAAGAAAGTTGGTAGGAATGCATGGCGGTAAATGCAGAGAAAAACAAAATTTTCTTCCCACCAAGTATATCTAGCTGTATATCTGAAAGGGGTCAAATGAGGGACATACATTTTAAAAGCTATTATGAAAAATGTTCAAATACACACAAAAGGAGAGAGACCCATGTAGTCATCACCCAGTTTCCACAATTATCAACTTTCTGCTATTTTTGTTGCAATTCTCCCTGCCACTTGTTTCGTACTATTGTGAAGCAAATCCCAGACATCATATCATTTCACCATAAACATTTCTGTATTCTTTCCTACCGTATAAGAACCTTAAAAATAGAACCATAATACCATTATCACACCCAACAGAAAACCAATTCTGTATATTATCTAATAATCAACCTGTATGTCATTCCCACTGATTGCTTCAAAATTGTCCCAAAATTGCTTTTTCTTAAGCCTCTTTAACTTAACAGCTCTCCCTTCTTTCCCCTCTTACCCCATTCCATTCATTTGTTGGGAAAACTGGACCGTTTGCCCTGTAGAACTTTCCAGTCTGTAGAAACTGATTGTATCTTTGGTGACTTTTAACATTCTCTCCACCCTTCATATTTCTTTAAATAGTAGCTAGATCTGGAGGCTTGATTAGATTCTTCAAGTTCTTTTTCTTTTTCGGCCCTGAATATGTCAGTGGTAATGCTGTGTACTTTCTATTACGTCACATCAGCAGGCACCTAATGTCTGGTTCTGCCATTTTGGGGACCAGTTAAGAAACCTGTAGCCATGATTTTATTGCAACATAGTGATTTCCTCATTGGATCACATCGGCATTTATTAGCTGTGATTCTTTTATAAAGAAAACCTTTCCCTCATCAACTAGTGTATTTGATTACCCTGAAATACAGTCCATAAAGGAAAGGCAAGATAAACGCTTGATTCTTTCCCTTTAGTTATCACCTTTCAGAATAATGCCCTAGTTACCTCCAAAGGCTGCTGATGAGTTTTTCTTTTTTAAGGATCATTATAAACTCACGGATTGAACAAATACATTTATTTTATTTGATGCATTTAAATTCACTAGTCACTCTTCTTATTCATGCTTGTCCCACCTTTGACCAGTGGACCCACTCAACTTTCCTTCGACCCAAGTATCTTTGATGGCTTGACTTCTGAAATAATATGATGTTCCAGGATCATGTTGTATTTTGCCTGCCCCAGATCTGGAAGCAGCCTTTGCTTCAAGGAGCGCTGGTTCTTTTTACTGAGAAAGGAAGAGAGACCTACTTTCGCTGCAATGCAAAGAGCGATGATTTCAAAGGAGGTTCCAAGGAGGTGCATCTTTGGGGAGCGGGCAGCGTTTGTAGAGTGAAATGGCAGGAAGGGACCCTGGGCCAGCACTTCCTTTACAAAAGAGCAAACATGGTATGAGCCACCATCAGAACTACGTGGCGGGGACAGGAGTGCACAGCACTGGGACACCCTCCCCAGGGTGTGACCTTTGGCAAATCAGGCCCTTGCCCTGGCATTCCTTTCAGCTGGACACTCTGCGGCTCCAGGTGCGTGACTAACGTTTCCAGCACAGACGCGCCCAGGGACTTTCCCGAGCCCCCGCCTGGCCCCGCGGAGTTGGTGAGAATGGCGCGGCGGGGGCGGGGAGCAGGCGGAGTCCGGGGTCTGAAAACCGCCTGGGCTCCGGAACCTCGGCGCCCCCTGGCGACCACTCCGGGCCGGGCGGAGCTCAGCGCCGGGTAGCCCCACCTCTTCGGCCCCCCTCTCCCCCCCTCGGGTGGGGCTGGGTGTGTGGATGCCCGCAGAAGCTGCAGAGGTTTCGCAAGGACATGACCTTAAGGGGAAAAAAAGCACTGTGTCACGCGGGGTTGCCAACCAGGGCTAGCGAGCTGAACTAGTTCTCCGGGGAGGGATAAAGGGAGGGGTTGGGCTGAAACGTCCAGACTTGTGACTGGCTGTCAACTGCCTCTTCATTACCGCGGTGGCGCGCCCTGGGCCGCGGGGTACGGAAGGGGGCGCAAGCCCACAGGCCGACTGTGTCGGGGTCCGCAGTTGGGGCGACGTCACTCCACCGGGGAATAGTGGAATGAAGGCACTGTTTTCACGGCCCTTCCCCTCCCCCTAATTCCAGAACCCCTGAGTCCAAGCTGATCTAAAACCAGCCCCCACGGAGCTGGGTTTCTACTGGAAGGTCGAAAGTGAAACGACAGGGGAAGTAGGATGATTTGCTAAGAAAGAACAAAGGAGTTAGGAGCTTTGGGCTCAGGATGGGTTCAGTCAAGGTAGCTTATGCGTGCCTGCGAGAACAGGAGTGGCTACCTCCCCCTCCTTTTATCGTGGAAGCAGCGGAGTGGCCACCAAGATGGGGTCCTTTGTGTCCCTGTCTTGCTAGGGTCCCAGAAAAACCCAGGGACTGGGAGGCAGGACTGGGTCTTAGCTCCATTTCTACCTAACTGTCACCCTGGGGAGCAGGTCACCTAACCTTTGTGGGCCTCAGGTTCCTCACTTGAAGAATGATGGTCTGGACTACATTATGGAATATGTTTCAAATAGAATAAGGCAAAGGAAGTGACAGTATTTATCCTGAGACCACGCAGTAAGTCAGAGAAAAAGGCGGGCCAGAGGCCAAGGCTGTCACCCCAGCTCTCTCACATGGGCCTCATTAGCAAACATTTGTGCACCACTGCCTGTGTGCTGAACATAGGCTCCCCATGAATGTTTGTGAGACCTGGGGTACCACACGGTGGTCACATACCATATTATAAAGACTTAAAAGTTATATATCAAGCTAACGAACTTAAATAAAATACGTTCTAGCCGCCTATCTTGTCAGAGATACCTCCATAACAATCTGGGAGGCCAGCTTCAAGTTTGG